TGTTCAGCTGTTTGTTGCTATGAAGTTTCATATTTTCTATAAATCTCAGATGACTTTTAATGCTGGTGCAAAATGGTGCTTCATGAGCGTCGCGATAGCCAGGAAGGGGGGATAACACAGCTGCAAAACGTTGTTGCAATGCAGTAACATCTGCTCCCTGTGTTTGTGTGGGATGGTTGTCACAATGCAGCGAAATTGGAATGGTGGAATCTGGCACCTCCAGCCCCAACTCATCTCTTTCCTTAACCAGGCTCACCAGATGAGCAGCCTCAGCCCCTCTCCATGCTTTAAGGAGGTTGAGGTGATATACAGTCATGTGAGAAAATTAGGACACCCCATTAAATAATTGACTCTTTATTAAATGTTCACATATCAATGTCCAATCATGTTTTCATGTACTACTGGAAAAGAAAGTGACTTAATTGCAATTAAACAACAAAAATTAAACAATTTTTACACATTTAAAAAAAAGAAGAAAAAAAAGAGATCAACAAAAATGTGTCTTTTAATGGTGGAAAACGTTTGGACACCCTACCCCCAATAACTAGTGTTGCCCCCTTTGGCTGATATAACTTCAGTGAGACGCCTTTTGTTGCCTTTTACCAGTCTCTGACATCGATCCGAAGCTCCTCAATCCACTTCTCAATGCAGAATTCTTTCAGCTGTGAGATGTTTGAGGGTTTTCTTGCATTTCAAGTCACTCCACAGCATCTCAATGGGATTAAGATCAGGGCTTTCACTTGGCCATTCCAGGACTCTCTTCTTTGTTTTTAGCCAGTCCTTGGTGGATTGGCTCGTATGCTTTTGGTCATTGTCATGTTGCAGTGTCCAGTTCCGCTTCAGCTGTAATTTTCTTTTTTTTTTTTCTTCTTTTTTTCCCCCCTCTTTATTTATGAAGTTTTACACATGTAATTTCACATATCAGGCCCAATACAGCAAGTACCAACCTATACAAAGACATATCAAGACAGATTAGGCCATTAAAATTTGGATGATAACAATAAAACAGATAAAAGAAAAAGAAAAAAAAGTGAAAAAGGAAAAACAGAAAATAACAAAAAACAAAAAAACAAATTAAAAATCAACTGAGGGCTGCAAGTCAGCCTCTGAGGAGGCCCTGGAGCAAGTTACAGTCTGAAAACTAGCCAGCTCATGAGGAAATATGTCAGTATTAGTATGCTTGTCTCTCTGCTTGGGGTGAATGCTAGAAAAACAGTCCAAAATGTGTGGAGTAGGCACAGCCTCCTGAAAAGGGGCAAGCGAAGACTGTGACTGAGCACTTAACTGTGCTACTGACTGCGCTATGGACTGCCGTAAAGGTTGTAATGATGCCAGTGGTGATGGTGGCTGAGAGGCTGACAGAACTGAAAACTGAGCTACCGGTAGCGGAGTTGATTGTGGTGGAGGCGTTGACTGAGCTAATGGCTGCTGAGCAGCTAACTGAACTGATGGCTGAACAGATTGCACTGACAGACGTGCAGCAGGTGAAGTGGGGAAATCACTGGGAGTACTATCCCCTGTCACGAAACACTCAGCCCCAGAGTACAAAGTCCCAAAGTCAGAAATAACACTATCAGTGTCCTGTACACTCACCACAGCCGGGCGCGCTGAAGTGCCAAACTCCGGTTTCGGGGTGATGCGCCGGCGGTGCGATTGTTGCTTCCTTGTGGAAGAGGAAGCAGGGGTGCCTGAAAGAAAGGAGGTAGAACACTTTTGCGGCTGCTCCTGCTGCGGTGTGGAAATGGCCACCGCTCCCGTCAATACCACAGGTGTGAGAGGAAGTGTGGTAGGGTAAAAAAAAAAAGTAAAGTAAAGTGTAAAGTGTGCGTGTATGTCCCCATAGGGAAATAGTTCCTCTGCATTTAACCCATTCACCCAGTGAAGCAGTGGGCAGCCGCCAGTGCAGCGCCCGGGGAGCAGTGTGTAGGGACGGTACCTTGCTCAGGGGTACCTCAGGGTAGCTGTTCAGTGGAGTCGAACCCCCGACCTTCCGATCACGGGGCCACCACTCTACCTACTGAGCTATCCCTGCCTGATGATGATGGCAAGGGTAGCATTTCTTCTTTAAAAGTGGATTGAGAGATTTGGCCACAAACCTTGGTGAAAAATGCTGCTGGCGCCGAGAACACAAAGTGGCGAGGGTTTCCAGAAGGGCAGCTGAATCTTCCTTCCCAGGACCGCCCATGCGAAATAGTTCATAGTTCAGCCTCGCTCTCAGAGCTGTTATTATGCGTTTTAGTCCATTAATGTCCAGGAAAGTGACAGTGGAGGCAGTGGACAACAAGAAATGATCAAAGAAAACTAGCTCCAGCTGCCTGTTGTAGGGGTCGGCAGTGTGGATTATCCTCCCATAGTAATTCCACAACAGCGTGAGATACTTCCCCACTGACACTAAACGTGAGTCTGCTGGATCCATGCTGGTCACGTCGTACTGTCACGACTGGGGCAGCAGTCGTGTGGAGGTGAGGAGGAGGATCCAAATAGCAGACAGTGGCGGAGGTGCAAGTGAGTTTTATTTAAAGTGAACAATAACCAAGGTGTGGGCAGAACCGAACATAAACCTAAAATGGGAAAACTAACACAAAAGGAGGACACGGGGCGAGGAGCAGAGAGACACAGTGAAGCACGGAATAATGCTAAATACAGTACACAGAAGATTCACAGAGAAACACAGACGACACGCGACAAGGAGCACAGGCAGACACGCAGTATAAATACACACACCAGGTAATTAGGAAATGGCAGACAGGAGGGGACACAGCTGGAACTAATGGGCATAACGAGACACAAACTTACAAAGTAAAACAAGAAACTCACAGACTGTTTCACAATACCAACTCGGGGACACGAACAGGACACAGAGGAAGGACACACGTAGGGATGATAGAAACACTAAACACACAACTCAAACCCTAAGAACAAATACAAAACAGCAGAAACTGGAAAATAATAACAATAAACTCCAAACACTGGGTCAAAGACCCAGGACCATGACAATATGACCACCAAGGGTCCTTGCCACTTGGTTAGTAACTTTGAACTTTAAGAAGGGAGTAATACAAGCACTTTGTCTCCCAATGAAAATTGCCTGAGTTTAGCCCCGCCACCCTTGCGTTTTGCATACAGGGAGTGCAGAATTATTAGGCAAATGAGTATTTTGTCCACATCATCCTCTTCATGCATGCTGTCTTACTCCAAGCTGTATAGGCTCGAAAGCCTACTACCAATTAAGCATATTAGGTGATGTGCATCTCTGTAATGAGAAGGGGTGTGGTCTAATGACATCAACACCCTATATCAGGTGTGCATAATTATTAGGCAACGTCCTTTCCTTTGGCAAAATGGGTCAAAAGAAGGACTTGACAGGCTCAGAAAAGTCAAAAATAGTGAGATATCTTGCAGAGGGATGCAGCAGTCTCAAAATTGCAAAGCTTCTGAAGCGTGATCATCGAACAATCAAGCGTTTCATTCAAAATAGTCAACAGGGTCGCAAGAAGCGTGTGGAAAAACCAAGGCGCAAAATAACTGCCCATGAACTGAGAAAAGTCAAGCGTGCAGCTGCCAAGATGCCACTTGCCACCAGTTTGGCCATATTTCAGAGCTGCAACATCACTGGAGTGCCCAAAAGCACAAGGTGTGCAATACTCAGAGACATGGCCAAGGTAAGAAAGGCTGAAAGACGACCACCACTGAACAAGACACACAAGCTGAAACGTCAAGACTGGGCCAAGAAATATCTCAAGACTGGTTTTTCTAAGGTTTTATGGACTGATGAAATGAGAGTGAGTCTTGATGGGCCAGATGGATGGGCCCGTGGCTGGATTGGTAAAGGGCAGAGAGCTCCAGTCCGACTCAGACGCCAGCAAGGTGGAGGTGGAGTACTGGTTTGGGCTGGTATCATCAAAGATGAGCTTGTGGGGCCTTTTCGGGTTGAGGATGGAGTCAAGCTCAACTCCCAGTCCTACTGCCAGTTTCTGGAAGACACCTTCTTCAAGCAGTGGTACAGGAAGAAGTCTGCATCCTTCAAGTAAAAACATGATTTTCATGCAGGACAATGCTCCATCACACGCGTCCAAGTACTCCACAGCGTGGCTGGCAAGAAAGGGTATAAAAGAAGAAAAACTAATGACATGGCCTCCTTGTTCACCTGATCTGAACCCCATTGAGAACCTGTGGTCCATCATCAAATGTGAGATTTACAAGGAGGGAAAACAGTACACCTCTCTGAACAGTGTCTGGGAGGCTGTGGTTGCTGCTGCACGCAATGTTGATGGTGAACAGATCAAAACACTGACAGAATCCATGGATGGCAGGCTTTTGAGTGTCCTTGCAAAGAAAGGTGGCTATATTGGTCGCTGATTTGTTTTTGTTTTGTTTTTGAATGTCAGAAATGTATATTTGTGAATGTGGAGATGTTATATTGGTTTCACTGGTAAAAATAAATAATTGAAATGGGTATATATTTGTTTTTTGTTAAGTTGCCTAATAATTATGCACAGTAATAGTCACCTGCACACACAGATATCCCCCTAAAATAGCTAAAACTAAAAACAAACTAAAAACTACTTCCAAAAACATTCAGCTTTGATATTAATAAGTTTTTTGGGTTCATTGAGAACATGGTTGTTGTTCAATAATAAAATTATTCCTCAAAAATACAACTTGCCTAATAATCCTGCACTCCCTGTATGTGTTGAGTCTAGCCCTGCCAAACTAAGGGACTGCTGATGTTCGTGACCCTGGAGCTAATTCTCCTGTGATAATATCCCCAGTGTCTGCAGCTTTGCTTTCAAGTATAGGACATACTGAATCAAATTTTTCGCTGAGTTTGGACCTTCCTCCCAGTTTTCTTTAATCAGGTCCAACATCCCCCATGGCTTTCTGTCGAACAGTAACTCAAAGGGAGAAATTCCTGTGGAGGTCTCGGGAATCTCTTGCACTGCAAACAACAGAGGGTCTAATAAGCGATCCCAATTGCATTCATTCTCGTCAATGAACTTATGAATCATGGATTTCAAACCCTTATTCAGGCACTCCACCAGCCCATCAGTCTGCGGGTGGTAAATGCTGGCACAAACTGATTTAATATCTAGTAAGCTGTACAGCTTTTTTAGTGCGCAAGACATGAAAGACATGCTCTGGTCAATCAGTATCTCTTTCAGCATACTGACACGTGAGATGGCCTGAAATTGTACCTGTGCTACTCTCTTTGCAGAAATGGTACTCAATGGCACCGCTTCGGGATATTGTGTTGCATAATCCACCAGAACTAATACAAAGTAATATCTGTGTGTACTTCGGTGAAATGGCCCAATGAGGTCCATGCTAATGTGCTCAAATGGGAACTTCCTGAATGGTCAAAGGAGCTTTTGGAATGGCTGGTTGGTTAACCAGCTCACACTCTAGGCAGGATGCACACCAGCATCGCACATCCCCTCGGATGCCCTGCCAATCAAAAATCGAGCCATTATTCAATCCAGAGTCTTGTCATATTACATATGCCCCTCCATGGAGTTATAATGAGTCTCCAATGAGTGACATGAGTAGAGATTTCCATCTCTCCAGATTGCATTTTATTTTATTTAAAAGTGTGATGTGGTTTAATTTAGTTAAATCTGCAAGTTTAGGAGAGATATTAATACCTAAATTTTTAATATTTCCAGATTGCAGTGGGAATTAATCAGAAGATCAGTAGATTTTAACCAGTTAATTAAATAATCTGAAATTCTTGAAAAAGAGTTTATTAATGTAATTATCCCAGAGAGATGGGTTTGTGATTCCCATCTCTCTGGGACTCGGACCAGACACACTGTTCAGGTTATGTTTTTTCTATTGTGTTTTCGCAGTATTTCTTTTGGTTTGGTGCTAGTCTCCTGTCGATAAGCCAGCTGTCTTGCCGATTCTTCCCCTTTCACCAGTTCCCGGCGTCACTAAAAAGGGAGAGACCTTATTATGCCAACAAGCGGCAGCTGCCCCTTCAGCAGTGTGTCCACCTGCAGATGTAGCAGATGTGTTAGAGCAGGATGAGTGTTTGTGTTGTAAGAGTGTAAAACAGTGTTCAGCTGCTCTGATGGAAGATGTGTTTAACATGGAGCTTCATTATGTACAGGAAGGAAAGATGGAGTCCATCAGTAGTGTGTGGTTGTTTTTATGCAGCTCACATCAAATCATCACTAAATGTTTCCTTCTTATTGTTCCAGTGTTGATTTTGAGGATCCAGATGAAGAAATCAGGTTCTTTGTGAATCTGTTCTGTGCAGCAGCAGAGAGAGAACAGCAGACAGGAGAGAAGATACTGGAGCTGTTATCATCAGTGTGCAGATTTGATACATTCCCTGTTAATGAGAGAGACATGGATGATGATTTGGAGAACTATCAGTGTGACTTCCTGCTGGATCTGTGCTCCCATGTGAAGGACTGTGAGACTAAAACAGGCTTGAGTGTCCTTCCATCATTACAGTCAGTTTTCCAGTCAGCTCCTGCAGTCTGGTCCATAAACCTCTCAGAGAGAAAGACCTCCATCCTCCTGGAAGTGCTGAAACTCCAACCAGAGAAGAAACAAGTGGAGCTGACAGGCTGCTCACATGAAGAGAGTGAAGTGAGGAGTTTCCTGCAGTGTCTGCCTTATATCTCACAGCTCAGGTAAATGAAATTTTCTTCACATGAGTCAAATATCTGTAAGAAAAGATGTGCTGTGAAAAGAAGTGATGGAAATATTTGAAGCTCCATAAATGGTAAAGTGATGATTTTGTCTTGTGCTATTTGTTTGTCATCAGCATCATATTTGTGACTGTATCTACATGGATCATATTGTAAATGTATTCAGACTCTGTCATATTTCAGAGGGAAACGTGCTCAGTACACCACTGTGTTTCACTGACTTGTTCAGCTGTTTGTTGCTATGAAGTTTCATATTTTCTATAAATCTCAGATGAAACAGGATCTAAAGTAAAGAAGTTTCTCATCAGAAAGGTTGAATTTGATTTAGATTTGATAGGTGAAGAAATGAATTGATTTCATGTTAAATTCAATAAGCTGATGTAAGTTGTGTGAATGAAGGTGAGCATGTGACTGAGCTCATGCAGCAGAGAGGAGAGTGTTGGAGTGCACACATGTGTTTGATGGAAACTTGCATGTTTGACCTGCAGCAGAATCATGAAATGATGTGAAGAAGAAGAAGAACGTAGCTCAGTGCTGACAAGTCAGTCCTGTTTAAAGCTGCTCTTAAAACAACAACAACGTGACATCAAGTGTTTAAAGTCAAAGTTCAAACTGTTTGTGGCTTTTTGAAAATGAGAGCAGCTTCAAATTCAAAGCAGCTGTGAACCATCTCTATGCTGCAGTGATACAGCCAGAAACCTGAATCAATCATCGCCATGGAAACAACATGAAAGCAAACTCAATGAGTCCTTCAGTGAGTAACTCAGTAAATGAATGAGTTACATGAAGCTGCACTTTATCTCCTGACTTTGTTGAACTTTACTGAGCATGATGATGATGATGGTAGCAGCTCTATAGTGAGCAGCAGATGAAGATTTCAGGCAGCAGAGAGTCTTCATCACTTTGTGTGTCCACCTGCAGATGTGTTAGAGCAGGATGAGTGTTTGTGTTGTAAGAGTGTAAAACAGTGTTCAGCTGCTGTGATGGAAGATGTGTTTAACATGGAGCTTCATTATGTACAGGAAGGAAAGATGGAGTCCATCAGTAGTGTGTGGTTGTTTTTATGCAGCTCACATCAAATCATCACTAAATGTTTCCTTCTTATTGTTCCAGTGTTGATTTTGAGGATCCAGATGAAGAAATCAGGTTCTTTGTGAATCTGTTCTGTGCAGCAGCAGAGAGAGAACAGCAGACAGGAGAGAAGATACTGGAGCTGTTATCATCAGTGTGCACATATGCAAACATTCCCCTTTGAGAGAATGATGATGATTATGGAAACAGTGTAGGACTTCCTGCTGGATCTCTATTCCAATGTGAAGGACTGTGAGACTAAAACAGGCTTGAGTGTCCTTCCATCATTACAGTCAGTTTTCCAGTCAGCTCCTGCAGTCTGGTCCATAAACCTCTCAGAGAGAAAGACCTCCATCCTCCTGGAAGTGCTGAAACTCCAACCAGAGAAGAAACAAGTGGAGCTGACAGCGCTCACCATGAAGAAGAGTAAGTTAGGAGTTTCCTGCAGTGCTGCCTTATATCTCACAGCTCAGGTAAATGAAATTTTCTTCACATGAGTCAAATATCTGTAAGAAAAGATGTGCTGTGAAAAGAAGTGATGGAAATATTTGAAGCTCCATAAATGGTAAAGTGATGATTTTGTCTTGTGCTATTTGTTTGTCATCAGCATCATATTTGTGACTGTATCTACATGGATCATATTGTAAATGTATTCAGACTCTGTCATATTTCAGAGGGAAACGTGCTCAGTACACCACTGTGTTTCACTGACTTGTTCAGCTGTTTGTTGCTATGAATCTTACGTCCTGAAGGACGAAACGTCGCTCTCAGTGTACACACACTAACTTGTGATTCTTCCACACGTGATCACTTATTCAAGGTCTCGATATATGTTGTCTAGATGACAGTTGTCATATTGACCTCCTCCCTAATACAAATCTCAGATGAATTTTAATGATGAAGGAGCACGAGACAAAACAGTTTATAAAACTAAAACAAGGTCAGTAATCTTTTTTAGCACTTAAGATTTTGTGAGAAGTGTAGCAAAATGATATTGATTTTACATGTCAACTTACAGTAATGCACGAGCATCCTAGTATCTTAACAGTAATATGTGATGACGAGCACATGGTGAATGTATAAGACTTTCATTGATCCTTCGATGCTCGTAAAGATTGTCATATGAGAGCATCGAGCGAACATAGCAAAGGGTAGGAACTCCTGCAATTATGGTAATTACTCTCTGTTACTATTCATGAGTTGTACTGTTCATGTCTTCCAACGTCTGTGGTAATTTATACTTTCGTGGGTATGCATGTTTGTCAGTGAGCTCACGCTTCACCGACAGAGAGAAGCAAGTATGGATTCTGTGGTTCAACTCATCTTTGAGTAGGTTTATGGACCACGACTAGCAGGATGCGCTAGAACATAAAACGTTAACATGTAACATTGATATGGTATAAAGAGTGACATATCGTCAAACCTAGTCTATATTCGTATCATAGAGTTCTATATCACCTGAAGCGAGGATGTCAGCTAGATGTCCAGTGTATGTGTAACTTGAGAATTTGATATGATTAGGAGTAGGCAGCATTGCGTAGTCAAGCGTCGATTCATGTTCTGGCATTCAGATTACGCACTAGTTAACGCGGCATGTTTGATATCGTGCAACACTGAGCGAGTCAAACGTAACAGACGTTCCCAGTATATAATTCTAACAGCTGCATGCGCCGCCTGGCGTCGCTCTGTATCTGTGTGGGCACGAGAATCAGGTTTGCATACTATCATCGCACCAGTGCTTGTATGTGCTGTGGGGTCTTCCCTCCATGGGCTATCGTCTTCCGGTGTATTCCAACATCTGCGGAACACCGATCCACAAAGAGGAAGAAAACTAAGAGTTGAAATGGGGATAGACACGTAACATCTTTCCGGCAAGATCTACGACTGATATCTAGCGCAGAGGTTGAATCGACTGCGATTATCAACGAAAACTGTAGCACGTGTCAATGCCTGTCTGTCTGCCACTACATGCTAGTCTGCATGCACCAAGCGTCTGCAGTCAGGACCACTAAGAGGCGACTCGATATCCAGACGTGCTCTGGCTAGTCTCATATGACTCTTCTCATGCCCGTAGCTACTATACATAGCGATCATCGCACTCAGCACTCACAGACCATGACAGTGCAGTGATCGGAAGCGGTATATGGAGTACCTCTGCGACTTGCGATACTGATATGAGGAGAACTCAATCAAGAGATCTCTGAGTATAATAATATTCTGGTAAAATGTCAGAGTTTTAATTCAATGTTGTAAATTAAAATTGTGGCTGATATACAGCTAATGTCGAAGTTATAACAGAGACAAGACTAAGAGTATCCTACGATGTGGGTCATAAGATAAAGATTTTAACTATCTATAAAGACAGATGATATTACATCTTGATTCATCTATCCCATGTGAG